GTGGTCGAGGCGTTTGTTGTTTGTGCTCACGCAACTGAAGTGACTTTTAAGATTTTGCCACGGCACAGCGATCACAAGGATTAAAAAGTTATTCGAAACTGGAAAGGGCCGAGAGGGAATGCGCCCCTCTCCTCTCTCTGTGCTGTAAAAGCACTCGCACTTATTTCTTCATCCGAGTCGTGACGTCATATTAGGACGTAAATTACAGTGCGGTTTTTGTAAGCGCTTGTAGTACAAAGAAGGAAAAAAAAAGGTCAAGATAAGGCAGCGTTGTAACCACGTGACGGCTTCCGGCCAATCAGCGAAGTGAGAGACTGAACAGATGGAAAATCGCACATCAGGAAAGTCTTAATTCGTGATTAGTGTTGGAAAAGGAAACTTCTATTTAACACGTGATTGCTATTTTTTTTTAAAAGTCTCCTGACGCTAATGTGTGATTCTCATTTTAAATATTGGACTAAAAGTTGAAGGGAAACAATCTAAAATGCTTACTATAAAATAACGTGTGGTTAACATTTGGAATGTGTTCATTTTAATCATGCAAATTCATTATAAAAACAAATGTCAATTAACATTTTCTAGTAAGTTTCACATACTCGGAAAAAATATATATAAACAATTAAATGCTTCAAAAAAGGTTTTCTACAGTCCTCCAAAATTGAAATTGTGAATTATAAAGCTGGAAAAAACTTAAATATACGAAGTGGAAGTTAAATATCGCTGTAAATGCATTTAAAATAATTATAGAGGAAGAATACGCTGCAAAAAATGAATACATTTCAAAAAATGTCTGCAATGCAATAATCTATGCTCAATTTAACATTTTGGATTAATTAATCATATTATTGTGGGGGGGCGTTGAAAGTGGAATTAAAGACATGCAAATATTAGTAAACCTTTATGTGTTAATGACAACGCTGGGGAAATAATTTTATGGCCAAACGTGCTACAATTTCAGTTATATCTAACTTTATTTTTATGGTGTGAAATAGAAATCGAGGGCTTGGGGGGGGTGTTCGTTTTTCCACAAAGTGACTGAGTTCGTTATTTTGATGTCAGTCCACCTGCAGCGCTGCACTGTGGCCCTTCAGGGTCCTCGTGCGCGGGTGGTTTGTGTGGGGGACTGAGGGGGGGGGCCTTCAATGCTTTTCGGCCTTGGGATGGTCCACATGCCTCATGCACCTGTCCCCCACTTTCTGCAAGCGCCCCCTTTCCGGCTAAGGGGGGCGGTGGCAGGTGCAATAAAAACTTTGCACATGGGTGGCGAACTCGAAATAACAACAATCATTTCATTTGGTTATTAGCAGAGATTTTAAAAAGGGCATTTTCCCTCTATTTCTGTATTGAAGTTCATTTGGCACATCATCCCCTGATGTGCCTAATGAAGTGGCCAGTCACAGTGTCCATCGTCATGGAAAATATCGAAATATTTTTATTAGTGTCATAACATGGAAAAATAGGAACAAAAGTCAAATCAAATAAAAATCTGCACACGTTTCATTTTAGCTGCTGTTGCCAGGCAGACTTTTTTCTTTCTATCTATCTATCTATCTATCTATCTATCTATCTATCTATCTATCTATCTATCTATCTATAAGTAAAACAAATAAATGCTGAACGTCAATAATAATATATAAAAAGTGCAATTTTGATGTATTGGAACACATAAAACCACGACCAGATGTATCTAATGAAGTGGCTTGAAAATACGCAAATTATTTCACAACCAATATCAAAAAGTTGGATGATTTTCTTACAGAATGCATTTTTAAAAGTGCTGTACCTGAAAAAATATCTGTCAAATCCGATAAAATAACGACGTTGAAGCTGTAACAAACTGTATTCGTACTTCGTACCTAATAAAGCGATTGGAAAGCCGTTTTGATGAATAGAATTGCAAAAACGTCATTTGTGGCCGTTATTTACTCGTCTTTAAAAAAATGCTGTTTGTTTCTATCTTCCCTTAGAAAACCAAATCGGTCCGTTGGGTCACCTAGGTGTACTTAACAATGTGACCTCGTTCGTGTGTGTTTGGCGTGTGGGATGACAGCAATTCGAGTTATGTTATTTGCGGGCGCAAAGTCGAGCGAGCCTCGCCCAGAGGTCGGGGCCACTAAAGCGGTCACCCGAGCCCTCTTCGCCCTGTGTGGCATCGCTCGTGTCCGGCTAAAATAGAGCGGGCCACCCCACGAAGCCCCCTTTCACCCCAGCCGCACCTGAGTTGGTTTGATCCCACCCCCAC